GCTGAAGGTATCAGGCGGAGTTGGGGAAAAGACAAGGGCTCTCAGGCAGCGGACGTGGGGCGACCTGGAGAGACGAGTCTCACAACATCCCAATCCCGATCCCAATGATGAGCGAGGAAGACTGGACAGACCGGAAATAAATAGCGTACCACCAAGAGACACAACGGAAGAACATGAAAAGGCAAAGGGAAGCTAGGAATAGGACAGAAAGGTGGAGCGCCCTCTAGAGGTAGGAAGAGTGTCGTGACAGTACCCCCCCCCCAACCTTCACGGGTGGCTCCAGACACCTCGAAAATAATAAGCTGCACAAGACTGGGGGGAGGAAAAACCTAATTTAACTGAAAGGAAACCTCCAGGAGTCCCTGGCTGAGCGCTAACCCCCTCCTCTGGGGAAAACCTTTATTAAGTAAAGGAAGGGGGAGCCAGGCAGGGCTCCTGAGGCCAGAGACAAAACACGTAAAAGATAACGTACAACAGAAATAACCCGGGAATCCGTAGCAACAGACAAATGAAAAAAATTACCCAACATAAATCAACCCTGACGGAACAGGGGAACAAACAACACATAAAAAATAGTGCACAACCGATAAAACCTTGGAATCCATGGGGACAAATTGACACATAAAAAGACCAGGGAGACAGGAAACCAGAAGCCAGGTAGGCCAGGGAACCAGAAGCCAGAGAGGCCAGGATACCAGAAACAAAGACCAGGGAGAAAGGGAAACAGAGACTACGAAAGGCAGGAAACCAGAAGCCAGGGAGGCCAGAACAGCTCGTGTGATCCAGTGCAGGCTCGGCATTCTGTCATGGAACCTGGTGTCTAGCCATGGAGAGACCGGCAGGATGGGAAGACCCTATACATAGCAGCAGGAACAGAGCAAACATAGGGGTTTGCTCTGGGCTCAAGGTATCGGGCTGAGTCGGGGAAAAGACAAGGGCCCTCAGGCAGCGGACGTGGGGCGACCTGGAGAGATGAGTCTCACGACATCCGATCCCAATGACGAGTGAGGAAGACTGGACAGACCAGAAATAAATAGCATACCACCACCAGATGCACCGGAAGAACATGAAAAGGCGAAGGGAAGCTAGGAATAGAACAGAAAGTTGGAGCGCCCTATAAGGGTAAGGAGAGGGTCGTGACAGGAAACAACTATTAACACAAAAGTAGAGGTTCACCTATAGGGTGGCATCTAGGTCTTACTTCCTAGGTAATACGTAACAAAGTAGGTCTTCTTTTACCAATTTGATAGAGGTCTTTGAATTTACAACAAAATAATAATGACACACAGAGAATATGAAATACACACAGAGAATATGAAATGGTGTATGAATATATTTGGATTGAGATTATAAGGCAGTTATAAGGCAGTTATCTTTCAGGGAATTGCACTGTATGCATTTGGATTGAGAATTGGTTAATAGAAAATGATTAATCTACTGTAGATTGTGGTAAAGTTACAAAAACTAGTAAGGTGTTTTTACTGGTGATACCAAATTAGAATTTAAACCAAATTAGTATGTTTAAGAGCTGGATGTTTACGCTGACTCATCATTTACATTTTATAGACATTATAGGGAGTAATTAAGGCAAATAAAATGTTATAATACATACATAAGTGAAAATTTAAATAAAAGGATGTTATGTTAAAATTTATAACATTCTAAATTAACAATTTTGTTATGCAGAAATACAAAATTTATAGATGCTAGAAAGGTCTCAAAGAATATTTTGTACAATTCTGGTCACTGTATGACAAAAAATATATATTGCTGCTCTGGAATCTAGAGAAGAGGTAAGTCCCACACCTACAGGCTTAAAGCACTGAGCTTTTTAACTCTTTAGCAGAAATGATTACGAGTATACCTGATACAAGTATTAAAAATCCTCATAGGCATTGACAAAGTCATCAGAATAAGAAGTGAAACATGAATCAGAAGAAATATGAAACCAAGAATGGGACCATAGGAGTGTAGAATAAGCTACCCAGTTATGTGGTTGAAGCTGATACCTTGGCTTCCTTCAAGAAATGACAGAATAATATCCTTGGATCACTAAGGTACTAATCACCTAAGAGGACAAGATGGTCCGATTGGCCCCTTCTTGTGTTCTTATGTCTTGTGTTCTTGTATATCTGATTGAAATGAACTTCTGGATCTGAAGTCAATCACCCACGCTAATGCATTTTCATTTCACTAAAGCAGTTACCACATTCCTAGAATACTCTAAATGGAGAACGCCACCTTTTAATGGCTCAGTTTTTCTTTGACTTAATTTAACACAGCAGTTTCGTCACGTCATGTTTCAAGGTGAGTCCATGCACCCAACTACAAAGGAAGGAGAAGTTATTAACCAGTCCTGAGTAAATAAGATGACGTTTCCCCTTAAAATAAAAAAAACACAATATATATGTGATATTGCCAGATAATATTTATGGAAGTACAAGGGCCTTACCATATAACCATTTTCATATAAATAATAAACACCGGGCTTTTTTAAATCCAGAGTAAAGCAAACTAGATGTTTCCTATGCATTCCTAAATTCATTAGTGGTTATCCTTGGCATTAAAATTAAAAATAAAGCACTGGAGGGAGGGAACTTTGTAATATCTTTCTTGCGAACATGTCCACTTACGCCACATTTCACTATGCTAAATGACCTTGTAAGGGCATATTTGTAAAATCTGTATGTCTTGTGAAATATTCAGAGTTTTGCCAAGGTGGAAACATGAGGATGCCTCACGTAGGATAATGATGCCCTGAGCAGCTGTAGCTCTAATCTTTCGTCCAGTAGAAGATATGTCCACAGCTATGTGAGGGAACCTCACTGTTCCTCTACATACAGTACAGTACCAACCCTTTTGGTTTATAAACCACAGATTGTAGTTCAAGAATCATTTGAGGAGTTACAGTATAAAGTATTCTGGATGAAACAGAGATGCAGATGTGTGATCCATGAATATTATTAATTTGAAGCTGTGGATCATGAAAAAGTGACAGATTTTTACATGTTCAGGTGTGTAACTGCATCAGCATGCATAGGCTGCAAAGGAACAAGTAATAGGTTTATTCCAAGCTGAAAAGAGAAGATAGAAAACACAGCGTCTTGGCTGTGGAGCCTTCTTCAGGTGTGAGAAAGACGGGACAGTATGCAAAGGTAATGTAGCGGGAGAACAGAAGCTGGGAGAGAGGAGGAGCGAGGACGGGAGCAGGGGACAGAAAGAGAGCCCAATCAGGAGCTGTGAAGTCAAGATAGGCGAAGAGAGGTGTGAAATGAAACCTACAATCAATAGAAGAATTTAGAAGAAAAGTAGTCTGTCGTTAAGAGAAGGGGGAAGTGTGATCCTAGCTGCAGGATAATTTTGGTTTCTGTAGTCTTTCTGATGTATGAGTTCGGAAAACCGTCTTTGAGAACACAGACGAAGAGATTAGAGTGGTCATTCGTATAGTTAATTGGTCTAATAGGTGCTTTTCAGGAAACTTGGTTAAATTTATGATCTGAACTCCGGTGACATACAGTAATAAGCTGTTACTTTTTTGTTATTTATTCTATTTACTGCTATAAATCTATCCCTTTTTTCCTTTATAGAAATAGCTTGGTTTTTCACAACAAGTCTGACAGTGAAAAAGTGAAAATTCCTACCTGTTGTCTCAATTCACAATTCAATTCAATTTTTATTTCTAACATATTCAATTTCCAACAGTATTACACAATTTTAAACATATAATTTTTTCATAGCCTGGGGAACAAAATACTATCAACTACTTATTCATCTTATTATTATTTTATATACTATAGGACCTTTCCTTTAAAAGCAACATTATAAATGTGGCATCACATTTGGCATCTTTAATTAGGAAAATGTCAAAATAATTTTACGGATACTTTGTTTTTTGAAGTATCTGAAAACATCAGGAATTCAGTAAGTCAAACATACAGTAAGATTCTCTGGTTAAAGGTAGTAGGCAAATACATTACAATATTAAATAATTATTAAAACAATCAGCAACTGTGCATAAAATAACAGTAATATGTACCTGTTTTGGGGTATTAAATCTTCTGCAAGAGAATTCATGAACATATCAATGCTAATTCATAAAAATGATTAGGAAAGGTGTTACTGCCATTTTCTGTGAAGCTGTAATCAAAATTAGAAGCCATTTTATTTCTTCTGAATTAAGGTTTACATTTGGCAGCTGCTGTCTGTTTGGTAACCTCCATGAGGGGTAGTAAGAAAAACTCATTACAATTGTAACAATTGTAAATTTTATCATATCTTGATAGTTATCAAATCTTTTGATTAACAAATAACCATTTTATAGTTACAAAAGCAGGGAATTTGATTTATTCTCCTCTGACTTCATTGAAAAAATGCATCTGATTTATTTTATTAACAAGTAGTGTGAAAATACTGCTAAAACTGTTATTGTGCTCTAAACACAGCTCCTCCTTATTTAGGTAGAAAATATATTGTCATCAAGACGAAATGTCTGAGATATAAGATGAAGAGGTAAAGAGGATGCCAAAAAGAATGTTTTTTTTTATTTCTAACAAATAAACCTACAGTTATATAATACAACTGCTCCTAAAAGTAACATGCACTAAAAATTAACTGTAAGATCATAGAGTTTTTAATATCCTGCATGCATATTTTTGCATATATTAAAATACAAATGTGAGAACTTAAGCTGTTAATTAGTGTGCTTCTAGTACTGTAATATTCCTACTTTTGTAAAACTAGACTGTTTGTTAGAACAAATACTGTATAAGTAAAAGATGTTTGTGTTTCACAATGTCCAGAAAAACCTCTTGCATCACTACCATCTACTTCAAATCGTGAAGCACCTTAGCTAAAGTGTTGTAACACATTGAGATCCATCCCATAACCTTAAAAATCCGTCTGACAAACAAAAGAAAAGTGGAAAGTCAAAGAACACATGAAAAAAATTTAAAATGTAACAACAGCTTGGCAGCGAAGAAAAGCAGCAGATTTTTCTTTACCCCTTTTGTGTAAGAGAATGCTGGCTTGACGTCTTCCATTCCCATTTTCCACATAACAAGAATAGTTTCCTAGATCGCTTTCTTCTACAGAGTCGATTGTGAGTGAAATTGACACTTCTTGCTCTCCAAGATGTTCCCTAATAATCCTGTAAAAGACAGGAGAAAAACAGAAGTTTTACATGTGCTGTACAATTGTGTAAATATTTACAAAATGCATACTGGACATTAGCCGGAGTTTTAGAAAAAAATCTGAGGGATTCTTCAAAGATGATTTTGCTGTTTTAAGGAAATTGTTCTATGAAGAGAACAGATAACAACAACAAGGAAAACAATGTAAGATTCAGGTTCATCATTGCCATGAAAAAGATTGTACTCTGTGGTAGGTCTTTCAATGTAGCAACACATTGTGGATCATTCACTATAAAGATACTATACAACAATTACTTACTGTATCTGCTAAAATGCCCAATGTATTTGAAATATTGCCAGAAAGTAATTTTTTTAAAGAAAGTATTCTATATAATTTTCTTTATTCATGCTATCTCACTATCAGAGCCTCACAGATCATGATAGTTCAGCTAATTCACTGAACAGTGCAGTGCAGTCTAGATATACAGTACAGTGCAGGGAAGAATTAACCAACTATTTTGTTTTGTTTTTTCTTATAGTAAATGTGCATACTGTACATGATCCTACAAGAATGTTAAGATATTGAATATTATATATGTCGGTTTATGTAAATGCAGTAAACAGAGATGGAAATATATAAAGATAAAACCAAACAAAAAAGGCTCAGGCAACAAATAAAATATAATCAGGTCAAAGGATCCACATCTGACCTTAAATCTGGGGGAGAGAGAGAGCAGGTGACTGATCTGAATGAAATAAAACAATAAAACCGCTATGGAGAACATTACACCCACAGATGTCTGTTAGATCAGGGATCTCATGCAGTTTGTGAAATTCTAAAAATAAACATTTCATCATTCATCAAACCAATAATCATCTCTCTGTATAATTTATATGTACAGAGAGACCGGGAGAGAATCATACAGTTCAATTTTCTTCACTGTAATCCCTAAGTTTAGTATAGTACCATCCCTAATATTCAGTGGTATTTTTAATATTTCTAAACAGGAACACTCACACAAATTATTCTTTTTAATGAAAAAGATAATAAAAATGTACACTTACATATTTTATATCAACAGCCTGTAATATGTAACTCAATAAAAAGTCAACCTTCAGAGTGAAGCAGGCAGAGCAACAAACTGAATATCATTACAGCATTTATTAAGCAAACCAAACTTGTTATTTGATGACTTGTTAATAGATAATAGACATTAGGCAGTATAGGTATTCAAACTTAATTATTTATAAGAATGTTTTTCCTGCACCTTCAGAAACAAAAAGTACTGTACACACTTCATAGCAACAGTACTCACTCTCTTTATAGTTGCTGCCATGGTAACAAAGTAGCAGTGGAAAGATTATTCTCAATAAAGTAAACAATGTCTCCATCAAAAAATGCAGCAAAGAAATAAAAATACATTGCATGATTATCTCTCCCTTTCTTTACATTTAGCAATATTTTCAGTGTTGTAAATCACAAATGCCGATATAATGGAAGAGTCACTAATAAAGTGAATAGTTTGCTTTTTTGTAAAGATAATCATGTTCCTTAAGGATCAGAACATGATTAATAATGGTTGATCATAGCTAGTACTGTAACTGACACATTACAAAATGAACAAATAGTCAAAATTATGTGTATATAAGATAAGAGATAAGATAACTTTATTGGCCATATACAATTCCTTGTATTAGGAATTTGTCTTTTCACATACCCTAACTTGCTCTCCATGACACACACAGACAGGGAGAGAAGCTTGGGGTCAGAGCGCAGAGTCATTGTATACGGCACTCCTGGGGTAGTTGGGGTTAAGGGCCTTTCTCAGGGGCCCAACGGAGTAGGATTCCTCTGCTGGCCGCGGGATACACACCGGCAGCCTTCCAGCCGCAGGTGTAGATCCTCAGCCACAGAGCCACCACACCACCCCACATAAGAAACTGGATGTATGTCTAATAATTGCTGTTTCAGTGATTAAACGTCCATAAGCTATAAAGGTGGCAGAACAGATTTAGAAAATTAGAAACATTATCAGAGAATTCCTTAGGTGATAATTGAGAAAACCAATTTTCAGACTCTTCAGAGGTGAAGGCAGAAACAAATACATGCATTTTTGAGACCCAGTAAGAGAATCCATCCTTGCATTCTCTGCTCAAGGAGCAATTAGTGTTTTCACAGTAATTAGGGGAATCACACACACTTACATAAAGTAGACAAAGCACAAGGCTTAACTGACTGCCCGAGCTTAATAGATGTAAAATACCAGAGAAGGTATTCAGAAAGCCAGCTGAAGTGCTTTTTGCAACTCCTACTCACCAGGACTAACCTGTATGCATTATTTTAGATTATTTCACCATTGATAAATTTGGAAAGACACATACTACAGCTCACTCTAAAGCCTGACTGAACATTATTTTGTATCAGTTTTTAATAATGCAAGGGGATCTACTGTAAAAGATATTAGAGAAGTAGATATTTTAATGCTTATTTACTAAAAATATTGAACATGAAAGAGCAGAATTTTTTTTTACATCAAAACAGTCATCACTTTGACTTTTTGGGTTGTTTTAGCACAAAGTATTACTTATATAGTAGTTGGTAAACATTCTGAAATTTCCATGTACAGAAAACCAGAAATGTGACCTGTACTGTATGTGGCTGGTTTGCTGTGCAGATGCATTGCTCTCTAATGAAAGAACAATCATACTGGAAAAGGCCCTGGGGGGAAGTCAGTCAAATGCTTTGCCAAAAACAACTGTCTTCGTTCACTTTATTTAGTCAATGACAGGCAAAGTGGAAGACATGCATTCAGAAGAATTGGAATGGATCCTTCAAAAGACAAGTGATCTTTTGAAAGACAACACTGCACATCTCAGACTCTGAAGTGCCACAATTTAAATGTCATCAATAACAAAGCAATAACAAAACCTCTCCACAAAAAAACCCCTTCTATCATTTTTTCCCTTAAGGTATCTTTTTCTCAACGCCAAATACCAGTGGTGCACATCTATGTCTATCTCTCAAGGGACTGAAGAGCTTCCTTGTGTTCATTCTATCTCTATTCCATACATTATTGCTCTGAACTAATCAATTATGTAATTGAACCATTGAAACACCCTTCCCTTCCTTTTAAACAACAAGCAGCTTGCTGTTTAAAGATGTCAATAAAATAAGTTGGATAGTGGACCTTAAGGGCTACAGTCTTGCACAAGTACTAAGGTCATCCACATTCGACAAGTTGAATGTCATTGCAGGGGAAAAAGACTGTGAAGGGGATGTCATACTAGATAATTAGAATTCATGTGTGTTTCATTCTAATAAAAAAAACTGAAGTGCCACTAAGTACTTCATGTTAAATATGTCACTTTCTGTCTGTCACACATTTGATTTAAATTCTGTAACATTTTTTCTTGATTAGACAGGTTTAAAAAGTATATTAGATATAATCTAATCTTTATTCTCTTAAGGAAAAAAAAAACAGTGCACATTTTTACCCCCTTTTTTACTTTCTTAGCATTATCTTAGTGCCATACTTCTCCATCTTCTGGGTAGTCAGGCAGATACAAAGACCTTAAAGAAAAAGGATAAATCTCCACTGATAGCTTTTTAAAGACCAGGCCTAGCCATGTGTGTCTTAACATGTATTTTACGACTGATGTAAAATGTGAAGGTGAAAGCGGGCCAATTGAATATCATAGGTTAAATTATATTTCTATCATATTTTTGAATCTATTAACTATTACATTAGTTTATATTTTTTCTATCGACATCATGCATACAGTATATTTCCAATGTATAAAAAATGCATCACATCAAATCTCATTTGGATAAAAATGAAAATCATTCAGGACAATTTGACAAGAATAAGATTGTCTTTCTAAAAAATTCCAGATGTGATGTTGCAGATCTAGACAGAGTACCTTAATTCTGAAGAGCCAAGGAACTGAAGCCCTCATAATGCTTCTCCCATCTCCATTAATTTAAAAGTTGTTCATTTGCCATGGCACTAAAAATTGAGTTGTTTTGACTTCAATTCATTTCTTGAATAAATTATATAAATATCTTTATTTGCATATCTGCAAAGTTGTTACAATTTATTAATCAAAAAGTATTAGAATTGGTATAACAATACTTCTATTATCCACTTTGCCTTGATATGTCTTAGCCTTGATATGTCTTAATACACAGAACAATTACGTGTGCATGCGCTTTAAAGATAATGATTCAACAGACTGCTAAAATGGCAAAGAAAATAATTTGTAAACACAAAAAATGTGATTTGTGTAAAATAAAAAATCAGATATCACGTTATAATCATTACCAGCTGAGCCATTATAAAAATACCATATACAGTACCACCCTGAAAGCAGGCAGCATTTAAATTGAAAGTTCTTCGAATGTTGGTTGAAATCTAAGCTTCCATCAGCCTTTGGAGCTGTAGGAATCATGATTGAGAGTTTTGTTAAAAACATTGTTTCTCCTGGGGCCAGTTTTCCCTCTGATGTTCCAATCTACATCAAATAGAGTTGATTACCCAGGAATGGTTTTGAATGTCCACTTCTTGAAATTTACTGGGTACAGGCTTTCAAGATGACTTTAAGAAGCCTTCAAGGACTATGGGCATCTTATGTTAACTGCAAGAATGCAGTCTAGGCCATTGAATTAGAAAGGTACAGTAGATGAGCTGATTCAGTTTGGCAAAACTTGCATTAACCAAAAATAATGTAATGTTATAAAAACCTCAGAAAATAAACTACAGAAAACTATCAATATAGAGACCTTTAAGTATTCAATCCAGTTAAGTGCTATCTCCCTTTGTAAGTTTATGAGATTTGTTAATGTGTATTCTCTTAGTGATCTGTTCTTTTAAATGACATTCAGTGCTTCTGAGGATTGCTGACTAAAGGGTTGTTTTCCTTTATTGTGCTTTTCTCACTAATGAGTACATTTTCATGTTGACTAAGACAGAGAGTACGAGGTTCAGTTTCAATGTGCCTGTATGCTTAAATATCAAAT